GGAATGGTTCAAAGGTCCTGAAATTGCCTCTAAATGGGAATTCGTGTTTGCACTTTTTCTTGATTTTTCAAGTATGTGTTCTTGATGTTGCGCCTCCTTCTAACCTAGTTTTGAGTCTGCACACCTTCTATATGTATCAAGGAATGGATTAGGGTTGATAGAATGTACTCAATCTTCTTCCATTATTGAATTTGATTGTGATTTGATTTTCTTGAATATCATTCCAAAATTGGCCTAAAATCAATCTTTTTGTCCACCCTAATGCCTTGCACGAGTTTGATTTGATGCTAGCTATAATTAAAACCTGAAACAAGCACAAAATCTTTTATTTTCAATATTTTGGATTTTCTCATGATTTATTTTGATTAAAATTGATTTAAATCAAATAAAAATAAAAATAAATAATAAAAACATGATAATGACAAGTGGCAAGGGCTAGAGCTCGTGGACTATGTTGCCAACTCAAAACAAGTGAAAAAGGTTTGGCCCATTTGGCAAAATTTGAAGTTTTAGGCATAGTTGACTTTTGGCAATTTTGCAAAAAGGGTTAACTTCACCAATGCATAACTTCCTCAATTTTGACTCTTTGGAAGTGTTCTTTGACTTTTTAGAAATATTGAGATGTCCTCTAAGCAACCATTTTAGTCTCATCTCAATTTGATATTCCATGCTCATGTATGAAGCTTTGACAAAAAAGGTGTTTTTGTTGACTTTCCAAAATGACCTATATTGTCCAAATTCATAACTTCTTGTGAGTGCATATTTTGAACTTGGGAGATGAAGATGGATTGTATAGGATTTCATCCTCTTCAAAATTAGCTTTGGATGGGTCATTTATCATAAAGTATGAGAAAGTTATGTTTAGTCAAAGTTGAGTTGACTTTTCCTGCAAAACCCTAATTTAGCAACTTTTGAGTCTTGATGAATTATGAGCAATCCTTGATGAATCATGATCAATCCTTGATCAAATGATGAAACATTCTTCAAAATGAGAATGTTGACTAAAAATCTTGAAGTTTGATTGTATGTGGGCCATAGTTGACTTTTGCCCTAGCACAGTCGATTTTCAGGCCTTTGAGCAATTGACTGAGCAAACTTCCTCTGCAAGGCTTGAAACTTGACATGGATGATCTTGAGAACATATTAGGACATTGGTGAGCATTTGGGATCACTTGGACTCAATTATCTTGATGCAACATGAAACCCTAATTTGAGGTAGACTGCCTTAGGAGAGAGCTTGTCTGGCCAACCCTTGGACTACCTTGAGCAAATTAAGGATCTTTCTTGAAATGTTTTGAGAAATATGAGAGGGTAAATTTTGGGGTACAACACCAAGCAAAGGGACGTTAGGGAATTCCCCACAGCGGTCAATGATAGAGACGTCTTCCAAGGATCTTGAACACCAACGGATATCAGAATGGGTGAGGGACATCATCCTTTGAGACCATGTCAGTCTTTGCTCGTTCTTCAATGTTGATTGAGGTAGGTGTGAAGTGAAACACTTAGCGAGTAAGGGGATACAACACAAGAGAGTACCTCTTTTCTTCATGGTGTGGGTATGAAGGCAATGCAAGATGTCTCCTGGTAAGGTAGGTATGGGATTGCGAGAGAGAAAAACTTTGATGGCATTAACATCTATGAATTGATCCAGGTTGGGGAACAGAACCAAACCATAAATGAGAAGAGCCAGAACATCTTCCAAATCTTGGAAATCCATGTCGTCCCAGAATGAACGAGCCTTCTCCAATAGAAACTTATCCAATAAGCCTTTAACCCCGCTTTTTGTCTCCTAATTGGCTATGATGTCGGCTCTCTTCATATGCAAAGCTTCGGCGATGACTTCAAGTTTTGGAATCCCTTCTAGACCGGTGAATGGTATCTGATCAAGCACGGGCACCCCTAAGAGTAGATAGAACTCTTCCAGTGTAGGTACCATCTGATAGTCCGGGAAAATGAAACAATGATGTACGAGATCAAAGAATTAGAACAGTACACACATCATCTCTTCTTGGAAACTGGATGCAGCCAAACTGAGGAGTCGACTGTATTTATTGGTAAAAGGAGAATCCCCGGGAACTCTTGAGGCTAACTCTTGAAGCTGAGGGTGTGCCTTTACAAAGCTGATTCAGATGGTGTTTCTTCGGAAGAAATTCATGACCTATAAAACAAAAACAAAGATAAATTTCTAAATCCTTGAAATGGTTAGTGAGCATGCGTATGATGTTTATGATGTTTATGATGTTATGTACAAGTAAATATATATACACACAGCAAACAAATCCCTATGTTTTAGGCTTGCATGGGGTTTTATAAGTAAGTACCCTCTTGAAGTTTAGTTGGCTCAACCTGTCTTAGTAATAGTTATCGGGTTCTAAAAGATCTCAATATCACCGACCTTTCTCTTAGGCATTGTCTCAGTACAAACAATCTTTTCTTGCGGCCGAGATATCCCAAAAGTCTAGCCTCAATGAGTGTAGTATCGAGTATCAACCAATTTTCAGCTCTACACCGAAACCGATTATCTCACTACGTCCTAATGGCCAAGTTTGTTCAATTAGGGTTCTAAAGTCAGTTAGTGCGTCATGACACCACTCAGCGGCCCCGTATTCTCCTCGATTTACCACGAGGGATATCAGTACCTACAAATGCGTCACACTAACATAGTCATTGTTTCAACCATATCGGTCTATGCCGTACAATTTCCACAATCTATTGCTATTTACCTAAAAAGGTGTCCCAGATCTGGGTGAAGGATCAAAGCTAGCCCAATACAAAGAACAAAATATAAAACATGCAAAGAAACAAGTAAAAAGTGATCTAACCCTAAGGTAACCCCGCTTTTAGAATTCATTCCCCAACAGAGTCTCCAGTTTTGTGATACGGTGAGAGAACTGACTTGGATGTTTTGCGTTTTGATTGCATTTGTGCGGATAGCAAGAGTCGCCACCGACTTTTCTTTTGTCCAAAAGGGAAGGTAAAAAAGCACAGGAAAGACCTTTCGAGATTATTTCTCGGGTTCGGGGGGTAGATTATGAAAAGGGAATGTATTAGCACCCTTTTCATCTATGGTTTTCCATGGGCTTTTAGTTACTCGCTAGATCACTTGCTTTTGAATGTGCTTGTGGTATGGGTTTTGAAAGTATTTTAAAAATGTCTTTGCAATGGTTCTCGTCTCTATAAGAACGCGTACAAAGTTTTGTTTCGAAAAATAGTTCAAAGATGTGTTTGTGGAATGTGTTTTTGAAAGTGTTTTTTTAGAAGATGTTTTGCAATAGTTCTCGTCTCTATAAGAACATATATAAAATGTTTTGTCTTTTTTTGAAAATGTTTTGAGATGAAAGTGTCGGTGTAAAAAGGTTTTTGTCGTGAGAAAGCGAGTAACTAGGAGCGAATCTACCTACTCGAAAAGTCTTAAATGTTCTTTTCTTCTTCCTTTAAATGTTGCTATCTTACCATTGCTTTGGTAAGAATCCCCATCGTTGGATATGAAGGGACAAGTGCGAGACGTTTGTATAGTCATAGAAGACAACTTGTGAGACACTTTAGCAATTTTCGTAAGGGACTAGATCGTTTTACCGAAGGCAACATCGAGGGACATCGAGGGACTACGATCTTTTTTTTATCAAAAGGGTTTTGCTAAAGCGTCCCATGTTCGAGGGACATGACTGTATTTCCGAGGCAACGAGCGAGGTTATCCTAGAGGACCGTTTGGAAGAAAGATCGAATCAGAACTTCTAAGTTATTCTGATTCTAATTGGTGCGGAGATAGAGTTGTCAGAAGAAGTACTTCTGGGTACTTATTCAAATTTCTGGGAGGTCCTATTTCTTGGTGTTCCAAGAAGCAACCTGTTGTTGCTCTGTCAACCTGTGAAGCTGAATATATTGCAGGTGCTCTGATTGCATGTCAAGCTGTGTGGATTCTGAACTTGCTGAAAGATATGAAGATTGAGGTGAATAAACCTCTGAAGTTGATGATTGATAACAAGTCTGCAATCAATTTTGCCAAGAATTCAGTGTTGCATGGGAGAAGCAAGCATATTGAGACCAAGTATCATTTTCTGAGGAATCAAGTTCAGAATGGAATAATAGAGGTTGTGCACTGTAGCACTCAGAAGCAGCTGGCAGATATTCTGACAAAGGCTATCAAAACTGATCAATTTCTTGGTTTAAGGGATGAAATTTGTGTTGTCAGTTTTGGGTAAATATAAATTAAGGGATGATGTTAGAATTAATTTAGATTTAATTAGATATTAGTTTATATTTAGGAATATCTTTTTGATTGTTTATATCTTTGTTAGAAGATATATATCTTAGATCTTCTTATATCTTTGTAGAAGATATATTTTAGATTTAATCTGTGTGTATAAATAGCCTAGTGGAGTAGGTTATTGTAATTCATTGTAAATGATTATTTTGAAGCTATCAGTTTGCCTTTTATCTTCCTTGTGCACCAACAAATTTAACGTCAATCATCACTGGACCAACTAACGATCGTTAAAATTGTTATTATTTAGTTATAATATTGTTAAAATTGTTATTATTTGATTATAATATGCATTATCTCTATCACTTTTCATAATTTAATATATGTTGAGAGTATAAGGAGTATTAGATGTATAAAATTTAAAACTAGTTATTATGATACTTAAGAGAAAAGTCAAATAATAGAGACAAATGTACATGAAGACAAAATGGACAGAAAGTTAAGTTTGTGGTAATGAAGAAAAGCTCACTACATGACAAGGTATCAAATAGACCTTGTTACATAAAAGTCCTTGTATGAAATGCATGTGATCAATTAATACAAGAGAGATCAAATCAAATTGCAGATTCTACTATAAGAGTCAAGAATCAAATTGCAGATTTGTCGGAGTTGATTTAACTAGTCTCTCCATTGGGCTGACTCAAGTTCACTAGAAAACATTTTCTTTAGTATAAGAACCACCTAGTATGTGTCTAGCTTTTCATCCAAACTTTTCAGTTTATAATATTAAGATACAATGGTCTTTGTGCCCTGTCTTGTTTTGTCAGCTCAGTTTCTTTTCCTTTATTCACTCTTGTCTTTCACATTTACTACATCTTTTCCTTTAACTCACCCAAAGTGTCATGAAGATGAAAGTCATGCCTTGTTGCAATTCAAGGAAGGCTTTAACATCAATATGACTGCCTCTTGGAATCCTTCCAGTTATCCTAAGACAGCGTCCTGGAATGCAAGCACCGATTGCTGCTCTTGGGATGGCATTCAATGTCATGAGTACACAAATCGAGTGATTCACATTGATCTTAGTAGCAGCCAACTCTATGGTACAATGAATGCAAATAACACTCTCTTTTCCCTTACACGCCTTCAAAGTCTTGATCTTTCTGACAATGACTTCAATTACTCTCAAATCCCACCCGAGATAGGAGAGCTTTCACAATTAAGATATTTGAACCTTTCTCGTGCCATGTTTTCTGGAGAAATTCCACCACAAGTTTCACAGCTGTCTAAGTTGTTGTTTCTTGATCTAACACCCCATACTATATCAGGTCTTAGAGATAGTGAAGTCAATCTTATGCAACTCAAACATTCCAGTCTGAGAAGCATAATTCATAACTCAACAAAACTTGAGTATCTTCTACTTGATTACGTGACAATTTCATCCTCTTTACCAGACAAACTCACAAACCTAACTTCCCTGAAAGCACTATCTCTTTACAATTCTGAATTGTATGGTGAATTTCCAGCTGGAGTATTTCATCTTCCAAACTTGAAATTTCTGGATTTGAGTTATAATTCAAATCTCAATGGTAGGTTGCCTGAGTTTCAGTCTAGTTCACTTACCGTACTAGTACTTGATTATACAGGTTTCTATGGTACACTTCCAGTATCCATTGGAAAGCTTAGTTCTTTAAATACCCTATCAATTCGAAATTGCAATTTTTTGGGCTATATTCCTTCTTCCCTTGGCAACCTCACACAACTCGTGCAAATAAGCCTTCAAAATAACAAACTTAGTGGTGACCCTTCAGCTTCCCTTACAAATCTTACGAAACTAAGCAGATTGTTAGTTGGTCATAATGAATTTACTTTCGAGACTATCTCATGGATTGGTAAGCTCTCATCATTAATTGCCCTGGAGATATCCTCAGTCAATATTGGAAGTGACATCCCATCATCTTTTGCAAATCTGACCCAGCTAGAAATATTATATGCAGAAAATAGCAATATAAAGGGTGAACTTCCATCTTGGATGATGAACCTAACAAATTTAGCTGTCTTGATCCTACCCCAGAATTTTTTGTCTGGAAAGCTAGACCTTAACATGTTTCTCAACAAACATCTTTTTTATCTTGATTTATCATTCAACAAACTGTCATTGTACAGTGGCAAAAGTTTATCCCATATGAATGATTTTGGAATTCAAATCTTACAATTGGATTCTTGCAATTTACATGAGGTTCCAACATTTATAAGATATTCTCGTAATTTACAATATCTTGGCTTGTCAAACAACAATATAACTTCGTTACCTAGTTGGTTGTGGAGAAAATCTAGTCTACAAACCTTAGATGTTTCCCACAATTCATTGACAGGAGAAATATCCCCATCCATATGCAATCTCAAATCTCTCATCGAACTTGAATTAGGATTCAACAGTTTAAGTGGCAATGTTCCCTCATGTATAATTAACTTTACCCCAAATCTACAAGTTTTGACGTTACAAGGGAACAAATTGTCTGGTCTCATTCCTCAATCATACCAGATGGAAAATACCCTTAAGATGATTGATTTCAGCAACAACAATCTCCAAGGTCAGTTGCCAAGAGCATTGGTCAACTGTGGAAGTCTAGAGTACTTTGATATTAGCCATAACAATATCAACGATTCTTTTCCATTCTGGCTGGGAGATTTGCCTGAGTTGAAGGTATTGGCTCTAGGTGACAATGAATTTCATGGAGATATTAGGTGCCCTGACAACATGACATGCACATTTCCCAAACTTCACATCATTGATCTTTCTCACAATGAGTTCTCTGGAAGTTTTCCATCAAAAATGATCCAGACTTGGAAAACAATGAAAACATCCAACACAAGTCAATTACAGTACGAGGAAACCTCAATATTCCATACATTCGACAAGTCAAGAGGATCTTCGACGACAGGAAATGTTTCTTATTCGTTCAGAATGTCAAACAAAGGGATGGTCATGGTTTATGAGAAGCTTCAAGAGTTTTACAGTATGATAGCCATTGATATGTCAAGCAACAAAATAAGTGGAGAGATACCAAAAGTCATAGGTGACTTGAAGGGTCTTGTTTTGCTCAACTTGTCAAATAACAACCTTATCGGCAGCATACCATCTTCTTTAGGGAAGCTTTCAAACCTTGAAGCATTGGACCTTTCTTTCAACGGTCTTTCAGGAAAAATTCCTCAACAGTTGACACAACTCACCTTTCTAGAGTTTTTGAATGTGTCCTTCAACAATCTCACAGGTCCTATACCACAAAATGAGCAGTTTTCTACATTCCAAGAAAACTCATTTGAGGGAAACCAAGGTTTGTGTGGGGATCAATTGTCAAAGAAGTGTACAGAACATCCGGGGCCTTCTACGTCTGATGGTGACCATGACTCGGAATCTTTCATTGAAATTGACTGGAAAGTAAGTTTGATTGGTTATGCAGGTGGTCTTGTTGCTGGAGTGGCATTAGGAATCAGTTACAGCTCACAGGTGCTTCGGTGGCTTAGAAGAATATTCTGAGATGGAAGGATCTTAAAAGGGCTTCTCTTTCTGTTGTATTTTGTTTTCTTACGTTCTTGTTTTCTTTTATTGTGAGTTCCTATAGTAACAATGTATTTTGGTTGTATTTTATCTCTTGTTTGTCTAAAATATTATAAAAACGTTTTGGTAGTGAAATCTCAAAACTATGATATACTACTTTAGTATTACTGCAATAGTACTACTATAGATGAATGTCCTCATCATTTCAAATTGATTGCAGAACTTTATAGCAATGAACAACTCAAGTTATAAACAAATGCAATAGTAGATAGAAAGAAAAGATAAGGAGCAACATGTTATATTGCAATGTTTAATCATTTCTTTTAGAAATTGATATATGATAAGTGAAAAAGTGTAGTTATTTTGTATATACTTTTTGTTACATTTATCGACTCTTGGTTGTTAATATAAGTTGAATAACTCAACTTTGTGTATAAATACGTTTAATTTGTATATAATGTGTTTTCGTGTATGAAGTGTCTGTTGAAATTGCTACAAATTTCTAGAATATTCTAAATATAATATGTATGGTAATGGTAGAATACCCTAGAAACTATAATGTGTATGAGTATGGTAGAATAATCTAGAACTATAAGTGTATGTAAAAGATAGAAGAACCTAGAACTATCATGATACTAACATATCATGAAAACTCTAGAAAAATCTAAAGTAATGTAGAAACATTCACCACCATTGAGAGGTTGGTGACTTGAGCCTATAAATAGACATTTGGTATCTTATAATGTATCATCCAAGAAATCAATGACATAACCTTCTTTCTAAACAACTCTCTAAAACTATCTTCTATCAACTATCAACTACACCACTACTAACAGTGGTATTAGAGCTACGTTTGGTCATACATTGGACGTAGTTAAATTAATATATATCATTTCAAATTCCTCCCAACTACTTCAAAAATGTCCCTTGTACTATTAAACCACTCCAATATTTGTCTAAGACATGGATAACACCACTCAATCATCAACTACTTCTGTCCCTATTTTCAATGGTGAAAATTTTGATTTCTGGCGTGCTAAAATGGAAATGTTTTTTTCTTCTCAAGATTTATGGGACATAGTAGAAGAAGGATTCATTGTTCCCGCAGATACTTCAGCTCTTAATGCAGCTCAAGAAAAAGAGTTGAAGAAAAATAAACAGAAAAATTCAAAGGCATTGTTCACCTTGCAACAAGCGGTAACTGATACAATTTTCCCAAGAATTATGGGAGTTAAGACTGCTAAAGAAGCGTGGAACACAATGCAGGAGGAGTTTCAAGGAAGCGTTAAGGTACGTGCTGTCAAACTTCAATCTCTAAGAAGAGATTTTGAACTATTGAAGATGAAGGAGTCTGAGACAATTAAAGATTACTATTCTAAAGTTAAAGAAATAGTTAATCAAATGAGAGCTTTTGGGGAAGACATTCTTGATAAGAAAATTGTTGAGAAAATTCTAATTACTATGCCCCCAAAGTTTGACCCAATCGTGACAACGATTGAAGAAACCAAAGATTTGTCCACTCTATGACAGAACTTGTGGGCTCTCTTGAAGCATATGAGAAAAGAATGTATAGGCATAAAGAAGATACACTTGAAAATGTCTTTCAGTCAAAGCTCAAATTTCATTCCCAAAACAAAGAAAATGGAGGAAACAAAAATTATGGAGAAACTTCAAGAAGAAGAGAAGGTTCTAGGAATTTCCTTAAGAACAAAACAAATAAAAATCCTCCATGCATTATATGTAAAAGACTGGGCCATGCAGAGAAATTTTTTTGGTTCCGTAATATGCCATAATGCAACCATTACATGAAGTTTGGGCACGTAGAGAAAAATTGTCGCAACAAAAATAGGCATTTAGCTAATATCGCAGAGGAGAATGATCAAGAACAATGTATGTTCTATGCCACTCAAGACCCAGTCAAAGAAAAAGGAGGAAGTTGGTACTTGGATAGTGGATGTAGCAATCACATGGCCAAGGATGAGACCATTTTCAAAAGCATTGATGAGTCTGTCAAAGTCAAAGTTCGATTGGAAAATGGCAGTGTCATTGAATCAAAAGGAATAGGCACTGTCATGGTGGAGACATATAAAGATACGCAACTCATCCATGATGTCTTACTAGTCCCCAACCTTAAAGAAAATCTTCTAAGCATTGGCTAAATGATGGAGAGAGGCTACACACTTCTCTTTGAAGGAGGAGTATGCAAAATCTTAGACAACAAAAATAAAAGGACCGAGATAATCCAAATGAAGATGAATAAGAGAAATAGAAGCTTCCCGTTAAATTTAAAACATACAACTAACATTGCCATGAAGGTACAAGTTGATGATTCATGACTCTGACATCAAAGATTTAGCCACTTCAACACACATGCCTTAAAGTTGTTATATGAGAAGAACATGATGAGAGATTTTACAAGAATAAAGGAAAACAATGAAGTGTGTGAAGGATGTCTCCTTGGTAAGCAACACCAATTTTTGTTCTCAACAAGAAGAGCATGGAGAGAAAAAGATCTGTTGGAGCTAATTCATACTGATGTCTGTGGACCGATGAGGACGCCATGACACAAGAACAACAGGTACTACATACTCTTCATTGATGACTTCTCTAGAATGACATGGGTCTATTTCCTAAAAGAAAAATCAGAAGTCTTTGGAGTATTCAAAAATTTCAAGGCCCTTGTTGAAAATCAAGGTGGAAAACAGATAAAAGTACTAAGAAGTGATCGCGGCAAAGAATACACCTCCCACGAGTTAGACATATTTTGTGAGGATGAAGGCATAGAGCGAAAACTTACAGTCGCATATTCTCCTCAACAAAATGGTGTATCTGAGAGAAAGAATCGCACAGTTATGGAGATGGCTAGATCGATTCTCAAGGAGAATGTACTTCCTAACATATTCTGGGCTGAAGCAGTCTACACTGCTGTTTACATATTTAATAGATGTCCAACTAAGTCAGTATTAGATAAGACTCCAATTGAAGCTTGGAACGGGAAGAAGCCATCAGCAAAGCACCTAAGGGTCTTTGGATCTATATGCTACATTCATATTCAAGACGTGAAGAGGCACAAGCTTGAAGAGAAAACTATACGAGGTATCTTCCTGAGGTATAGCATAATCTCTAAAGGCTACCGTGTCTACAACTTGCAAACTAAAAAACTCATCATCAGTCGAGATGTTGAAGTTGATGAGAATGCTTCTTGGAATTAGGATGAAGAAAAAGTGGAGAAGAACATCCTTATACCAGCTCAACTACTTCAAGAAGAATCTGAAGAAGAAGGCCCAGGTGAACCTTTTTCACCTCCACCACAACAACATGATCAAGAATTATTATCACCATAGTCTACTCCAAGACGAGTAAGATCTTTGATGGACATATATGAAACCTACAACTTGGCCATACTTAAACTTGGAAGCTTTGAAGAAGCATCAAAACAAGAAGTGTGGGTCAAGGCAATGGAAGAAGAGATAAAGATGATCGAGAAAAACGACACATGGGAGTTAGTAAATCGTCCCCATGGAAAAGATATCATTGGGGTTAAGTGGGTCTATAAGACAAAGCTCAACCCTGATGGCACCATACAGAAACACAAGGCAAGGTTAGTAGCTAAGGGTTACTCACAGCAACCTGGGATTGACTACAATGAGACATTTTCACCAGTAGCTCATCTTGATACCATTAGAGCTCTAATAGCTATTGCGGCACAAAGAGGGTGGAGTATCCAACAACTAGATGTCAAATCAACCTTCCTCAATGGTGTACTTGAAGAAGAGATCTATGTGGAGCAGCCACAAGGATTCATTTTTGAATGTGAATAAAGAAAAATGTTAAGACTAAGAAAATCACTTTACAGTTTGAAGCAAGCACCTCGAGCATGGTATAGCAGAATTGATCAGTATTTCATAGATCAAGGATTTAAGAGGAGTAAGAGTGAGCCTACACTTTACATCAAGTCTCAAGGTCAGTACACTCTCTTACTCTCTCTATATGTAGATGACCTTATCTACACGGGAAACAATACCAAGATGATGATGGAGTTCAAAGAAGACATGATGAAGACCTTTGAGATGACCGACATTGATTTGATGAGTTACTTCCTCGGTATAGAGGTAAGTCAGAAAATTGAAGGGATATTCATCTCGCAAAATAAATACACAGAAAGCTTACTTAAGAAATTCAATATGTACGGTTGCAAACCTGTCGCTACTCCACTCATAACAAATGAGAAACTACAGAAGAATGATGGAACACCAGAAGCTGATGCATCCAAATATCGATGTCTAATTGGAAGCCTTCTATATTTGACAGCTACACGGCCAGACATAATGTATGCTACAAGTCTTCTATCAAGATTCATGCAAAGTCCAAGTCAAATACACTTTGGAGCAGGAAAAATAATTTTAAGGTATCTACAAGGAACAAAAGAGTTTGGTATATGGTACACTACCGAAACCAACTCAAGATTACTTGGCTACACCGATAGTGATTGGGCAGGTTCGGTAGATGACATGAAGAGCACCTCTGGCTATGTTTTCTCACTAGGATCGGAAATTTTCTCTTTGGCGTCGAAGAAGCAAGATACAGTTGCACAATCAACAACAGAAGCATAGTATGTGACTGCTGCTGAAGCAACAAGTCAAGCTATATGGCTTCGCAGGATACTTGAATACATGAGAGAAAAACAAGATGAGCCTACTAAAATTAATTGTGACAACAAATCAATAATTGTAATGGCGAAAAACCCAATGCATCACAGTAGAACAAAACACATAGCAATCAAGTATCACTTTATTAGAGAAGCTGAAGCAACTAAGGAGATCAAACTCGACTACTGCAGAACAAAAGAACGAATTGCAGACATATTCACGAAGGCGTTACCGAGACAAAGATTTGAAGAGCTGCGAACTATGCTTGGAGTTACAGAAATTTGCATCAAGGAGGAGTGTTGAAATTGCTACAAATTTCTAGAATATTCT